GCTGCGGCAAAATCAGATGCCTTCATCCACCCCACCTGCAATAAAACATGTTTCTCCCATATCTCTATAGCCACAGCTGGTGCTGTAAAACTCCAGTGGTTTGACTTTACCCTCGAAAGGTGCACTCTTCCATTGTCTCCTAAGACAGATGCCAACAATTAACTTCTAAATCTGAAGGAGTCTGAATCTTTATTAAGGTCATTTTTTAAAATTTGTGCATGCAACACTTGGAAAGCCCTCCATTGCACTTTGGCATTGCGTTACACCTGAGTACATATTAAAATGCCACTGGCATATACGTTCACAGTACTTCTTATAGAAGATTGACAGAAGAGCTGTTGTTAAAGATTTCTTTTGTTTTCAGTCAACCAAAACAGTTGACATTTCTTGATCTTTGATTTAACAGTAGTGCTAACACCAGATGATTATTATATCACTACTAATATTAGTATTAGTATACATTCTTGTTTACTGTTAAGATCCCTTGATCGCGGTGTTTTCCTGTATAACATGCTAAACACATTTCAAAGAAGGTGATAGTTTGTAAAGATCACTAGGGAATTCGAATGTAATGGGAAGATAATATGAACACTTATTAAAACAAGTGCTTCTATACTTAGGACAGACCTTCTGTTATCTCTGGAAAATTCCAGACACACTTGCTCTGAACGTCATCTGAAGTGCCACCTAGAAGTGTTGTCCATAATATTGGCCAGAATATAAGTGGAAGGCTTTCTGGCAAATGTGTTACTGACTTTGGTGCAGGGCTTAAAGGAATTGTTTTCTTTTTTTGATTTGTTTTAACATAATGTGTTAAGTTTTTTAGCTGGTTCATAGGTATGTAGTATGAGTCACCCCGCTGGAGACACTTCTGTCACTGAAGTGTGCTGGCTCCAGGAGGTGTCATAAAAGAAGATGAATTAGATAAATCACAAATGAGATAAAAATAGTATTTTTTCCCTCTCGTAGTTTAGCTAGGATTACAGTGACTCTTCTTCTGAAGGGCGGGGGGGGGGGCATTTCTTGGAAAACTGCTTAACCTGGAAAGTAGAAGCAGAATGGGTAACTATGTAACACTGAACAAAAATGAAGGTGCAAGTGCCTCTATTAGCTATTTACAGTGTTCCATCAGTTTGTGGAATCAGTGGACAAATTTACACTAAAATTGTGTCATTTAGAAGCCCATGATAGAAACACTCTGCTAGTGTTTAATTTAGCTTTCTGCATTTCTCTTAAAATAGCCAGTTGTGTTTGTCAAATTCTCTATCATTATATAGAGGCAAAGACTGGTCTTTCATTCTGCATGAGTGATATTGGCTGCTAGTTGGGTATTTGTAACATGGAATGGTAGCTTCCAGCATTCCAGTAGTGTTTCAGGGTGTGGTCATAACAGCTGTAATTTCCTTGTATTTTGGAACTTGCACGAACATGGGAAGCCCTTAACACAGCATGTTAAACTAAAAGGTTTTTTTTTGTTAATTGAATACACATATGTTTAGTATTGATAAATCAGTTCCCAAGTGCAAAATCTAATACACAAAATGGGCAGCATGGAACTTAGCGATTTTCCAGAAGGTTGCTTCTTTTATCAGCTGGAGTGCTTTAGTGAGAGGCATGTGAACATAATCTGTTCATGTGCCCTCTGAAAGTCAAAGGTAGGCTCATAGATCCATGTAGATGGCACAATGATGATACAACAAAACATAGCACTGTTGCTTCAAAGCCCTCACTAGGATGCTGGCAGTCAAAGAGCTGCTGTCTGGAAGTGGCCTTAGGGGTAAAAGCGGGGTGGGGTGGGGTGGGGTGGTAATAGCACACAGGCTTCACCACTGAGTGGAAGCACAATCTGTGGAACCTAAAAGAAAGGTATGTGCATCCAGTATGCACTATTTCATTGATCTCTCTCTAATTTAAAGGGGCAATAGGATCAGAAACTGAAATAATTTTGTGTCACCTATTTCAGTCCCCAGCAGTGGAAGGTGGCGATGCAACACGGGAAAAGGTACTATTATACATATATGGTGGAATTGTTTAAACATCAAACAATTTTGGGAAATAATATATAATGAAATGAAAAAAAATGTTTAGATACTCATTTAGGAAAACACCAGAAGGTTTTCTATTGGGAATAGTACCAGGAAGCCTAAAGGAAGAAGATAAGACCTTATATTTATACGCAACAGTAGCAGCAAGGCTATTGATTGCGAAAAACTGGAAAAGTGGTATAATACCGACAAAAACAGAGCGGCTTGCCAAATTATTGGAGTATTACAATATATCCAAAACAATGGAAGAAATTGGAAGGATTTCAAAAGAAAAGATAGATAGGGACTGGAAGGTGTTTAAAAGATACTTGCAAAATCATATCGGAAAAATCAGAACTCCTATTAGAATAAACAAGTTCCGTTTCAAATACTGAAATATCAAATAAGATGGATAACAATGTGTAATAGAAAAAGAAGTATGAAATGAGGCTAAAGGTGTGTGAAAGAAAGTAATAGAAGTGGAAAGAAATTGTAATTGAGTAGATTGGAAGTCAAACACAAAGGTGGGGTGAGGGGTGGTGGATGGTGATGGGGAAAGGAACTATTTGTGGGATTGAGTGTAAGTATGTTTGAACACTTTTAAGGATTGTATGAAATGTATGTTTGTATGCTTGTATATGTGTATTAATGATGAACTATTTTAACAATAAAAACTTATTTAAAAAAAAGAAGGAAAGTGAGCTCCCGGTTGTTCCTTTGCTGGAGCAAGGCACACACACACACACACCCCCGCTTCCCCTCCCCCACAGGAGAGGGCAACTTCTTCAATAGCTTCAGGCAGCTTCCATTGAAACCACTGCTAAAACAGCTTTCCATCTCCATTTTAGTGGTTTCAGTGGAAACAGCTTGTTGCTATCAGAGCAAAGCAATACTTGAAAATGGTTCTCATGATCTCTTTAACTTTTCTTTTCCTAGGGCAATTGCTCTGTCCTTCACCCATTTACTATGCATACTGTATGTTCCAAATACTTCGCTATCTTTGTTATATTCTGGATTGCCTATGGTGCACTTTCATAGTTAAAATGTGGAAACCAAAGCTGAAGACACAGATGGATATCAAAGCCTCACCTGTGTATAGAGTAATACTTGAAGTTTCATATATTTACAGATTTAGATTAGACTGGCCTAGTGTTCTGATTTAAGTAATTTTATGTTATGTTTTTAAAAACCTTCTATTGTGCTTTTTTCTGTCATACTAAACTCAAAAAGCAGTTCAGCTACAGTCCTCAAAGAGCTTACTTTTAGAATTGCAGTTGTCTTTTTAGGGATTCTTCACAATTAAAAATAAATAAAGAGTTGATTGGATCCTTTAGAATTCTAACATCAATATTTAAGAATACCAGGTACTCTTGTCTTTCAGTAACATAGAATTTAATCTGCTTAGGAACCTGCTGTGTGTATTCAACACCATGTGTTCTATATGAATCAAGAGTGCCTTTGTTGTTCTGGGCTGTATCAAGGGAAGTATATTTATAGCACTAGGGGTGGAAGAGTTGGATGCAAGTAGTGGAAAATTCAAGTGTGTGCTTTGGAACAAGGAGCAAAAACAATTACGTCTGAACACTAAAGTTTCTTTAAAAACAACACAAGTACAGGTGGTGAATTCAGTGTTGCATTAGTATGAATGTTCTGTCTGGACAAGCATTTAGGCTTGCCAGATGGAACAGTCCCCTCTCTCCTGCCCCTTTCTATGCTGTTCTGGGGATTCTCCCAACCCTGCTAGATCCAATTGAGGGGAGAGGGAGGAAAGCCCCACTGGCAAGCAGAAGTCAAGCAGGACTTCCACTGATGGGGCTCCTTAGATGAATCCCACCCAGAATGTGGAACTAGATGGCCCATTGGTCTGATCCAGCTGCTTTCTTCTTGGGTTCTTGTCTCTCCCTGCAAACTTCTACAAGTTTACATATTTGTAATAGCATTTTATCTTGAGTTTTTTGAACTCTTGCAGTCCATCAGTTGATTTTATGAGAAGCAATAGATGCCCATTTATATGCTAAAAGAAAACCATATTGTTTTATTCACCCTAGGACAGAAACTAATCTAAAACTCACTGAATCCCTTAATATCTTAAAGCCATCCTTTTGTTCCTGGGTGGCATTTCTTCCAAGCATATGTACCTATTGGATTGAAAGCAAAAATTCCCACTAACGTGTTTTATTCGGGTTTGGAATTGACTTTTAACATGTGGCAGCTTGTCCAGTTACTGATAAGTGCTACTTGTATATAGTTAAACCTGTATGAATAAGGATTGTGGTGTAATTCCAATTTACAGGCCACTTTTTTGCATAACCGTATTCTTTTGAAATAGATAGCAACTAAAAATATCAACTTCATGTCCTCACCAGTATCAAGATTTACTTTTTTAATCACTCTCACCATAAAAGTAAAGTTGAAGAATGAGGCCATTATTTTAATGGTGTCTATAATGCAGCAGCTGATCGTGGGGTGGGGTGGAGGTGCTTACCTGACCACCTGGCAGCTGGGTTGCGGCTGCTTACGAGGAGGGGTGCACAGAGTCATTCCAGCAGACTTGCTGGTGCATTTACACTACGCCTCACCACGGCATTATACTACAAGATCTGCTTTCACTGACTCCTACTAAGCAGCACAGACTGTCAATGACATAGCTGATGTGAGGCAAGATGCTTTATTTGTGCCCTCAGATAATAAACCAGTGAAAAATCACACAAAAAGAAGCCAATGTGAGACTTCAGTTAGCTTTCACTTACATCAAAGAACAAAGCAAGGAAATGTTGCAGATGGAGACTTTGTAAACGGCAAAACTACTGTTTGCTAGGTTTCTCTTTCATCTAAGAAGACCAAAGGAAGGACCGCTTTCCAATAGGCTTTCTAAACATACATTTCTCTCAACTAAGCACTTTTAAATGTATAAATGGGTGAGTAAGTGTTGTTTTTCTGCTCTTTGACAATATTCTTTTGCACATTTCTTCCCAGGTTCTGAGTGGATCATCTCATCAGAGTTACCCAGCTGCAAGCTTTCAGGATTTCAACAATTGGGAATCCCTGATGAAAATCAAAGAAGGATTGCTAAGGCAAAAAGAGATTGTGATTGATCGGTGAGTAAACTCTATCTTACCTCCAGTTGCTTGGAGGTTGCCTTGTAAATTGGTTGAGTGTCCCAGAGACTGATTTCCAAGTTTGATTATGTCCCCCCCCCAACAAACATGAAAGATGAGTACAAGGGTTTCACATCCAATTTCATAAATAGCTGAACAGTAGAAATGACCAGGAGAAGGATTGAAAAAAACATCAGGTATCATCATGTTAATCAGTGGTACCAGGTATAGTTCTGGAATTATAAAGCTGCCTTTTATTGTGAGACGGTTGGTTCGTCTTGCCTCTGACTGTTCTCCAAGGTTGCTTTTCCCAAGCACTATTGCCAGTCTTGTTTGACTGAGATACCAGGGATTGGCTCTGGGATCTTTCATATACAAAGCATTAAGATATAGAACTTCTGGGTATCACACTTCAAAAAAGATATCATAGAGCTAGACATGGTAGAGAAAGGGACAGGGGTTTGAGTACCTTCCATATGAGGGAAAGCTGAAATGTTTGTGGACTTTTAATTATAACAAAAGAACAATTTGGGAAGGAAACTTGACGGAAGTTCATAAATAATGAATAGTGTTGAGAAAGAGAAACACTATTCCCTCTTGGTAAAAGAAAATTCAGCACATAACACACAATTGATTCATGGCATTCTTGAGTCACGGAGAATTGATGAAACCGTTGTATTTGTCTCAGGAGTATTGCTTAATTGGGAATCTGACAGACAAAACAGAGTTAACAGGTGCACCCATGCTAGAGTTTACAGATTTCAGTGTGAGCAGGATGCAAAATTAGGAATGAGTCTCAAGTCTTTTACATTATGAATCAGTTACATAGTGTGTATTGCATTCAAGTGCATGGAACGCCGTATAGTAACTGTGAATACCATACAGTACCATACAAGAGCCTCTAATTTTATAGTAAGTAATCAAATCTTGATATATTGACAGCATTTCCTGTTTAATATTCTTCTCCAGCTCTATGGCTCTCAGCAGAGTTGATGTATCTAGAGCAGAGATTTTCAACCTTTTTGAGTCCACAGCTCCCTTGACCAACTACATTCTTTCTGCGGCACCCCTGTGGGGCTCAGGAGCCCAGTTATGTTACCCCTTCCTGCAGAGCTGGCAGCCTCTCAACCTCTTTCAAATGCTCAGCCTCCTCTCCGCTCTCCTTGGGAGTCCTCCAGGAAGCTGCTGCTGCCGTCTCTGATCTCTGAGCTGCCCCCGCCCCGCCGCCCTCGCCCCAAAGAGAACTTATAGCCGGGGCTGCTGCAGTAAACAGCTGTGCAAGCCTTGGGGAGGCAGAGACGTGAGAGGAGGGCGGGAAGGCAGGAGGGACAGAGGCCAGTATTGCCTGCTGCACCCCTAACCATCATTCAAGGTACCCCTGGATGCAACAGCACACTGATTGAAAACCACTGATCTAGAGGATTGATCTAGCATATTTGACATGAATATGGTATCCTTGCAATTTGTGCTTTCAAAATTGATGGCAGTCCCATCTTTAACAGATCCTAACCTCATCAGGGTTTTCACAGATGTCATGAGAGCTCTTTCTAGGTAACAGAAACAAATTCAAAGTTTTTTTCATTTGGTAGTTCCCATTTTTGTGTGTACTTCTATTGCTAAAGTCATAGGATGAGGCCTATTGCACAGCGTTGTTTATCAAAGGCTCACTAAGCTCCTTGTGGACTTTTAACTTAATTTGTGTAAGAAATGTTTGATACTGATGCCAAACAAGTTGCAAATTATACTTAGATGTTATAGTGGAATGGGTCCCTTTTCCTTTGTAACCCCTCATGGTCCCTTGGAAGGGGGTGCTGGCCCTGTATAGCACTCATTGTAATGTGACAAGCTACAATAAGTGTGATCAGAAGTGCTATGAGCTTGCATAGTGGTCCCCAGCCCCTTCTCACTTGCCACAACAAAAATGCAAAAAAAAAAGCACAAGTTAATACTGCTGGATTGGCATGTTGAGAATATGGAAACTATAAAGAGTTAGTCACATAGTAAAGGAATATGATTACCCCAGAAACTGCCAAAATAGGTAGGATTGAGTGGCAATTGAGATATGCATTACTCAGAGAATTAGCAATTAGTGAGTGGTATAAGAATGCTGTCAGTAAAATAAAATAAAATTCTTAACACTCTGGTCTGGTCATGTGTTTTGGTCCAGTGAAAGAGAGAGAGGTTCATGACTCTTTAATGGATGAGTGAGCTCCTTTAAGAATATGGAGCTCACATTAATACTACGTTTTATTTTAGGGGTAGTCTAATTAGAGTTTTTATAATGCACCAAGAAAGAAAGAAAGAAAACAAAACAGAATTTAACAAATGTGTAAGCATTTTACTCCCTTCTGTCTAAGCTAGAGAAGGGTTATTTCTTGTTTTGTTTCATTTTGCTGTACGTGACTTCTTTTGACTTCAGACACATATCTGAAGAAGTGTGCATGCACACGAAAGCTCATACCAAGAACTTAGTTGGTCTTTAAGGTGCTACTGGAAGGAATTTTTTTTGTTTTGACTATGGCAGACCAACACGGCTACCTATCTGTAACTGTGACTTCTTTTGATTAGTTAAAAAATAGTGAATATCACATGGCTTCATTTTTGACACTAGAGGGAGCAATGGATTCTTGTATGGTTTTAAGTAGTATATTTGCTGCTTCACTCTATTGAAAGCATACGCACATTACAACTATTGTCTTGTAACACTTGGGATTGTTCTGACCTTGATTGGCCATTGCATGCTATGCATTTCCAACGCTCGTGCTGGCTGGCAGTGTCTGTTTGGCAAGGATTGCCTAGAATGGTAGTGTGAATAAATGCCAAATGCTAAACGTATGACATAACTCTCTGAAAATAATAGCACACTCATCAACAATTGCTACATTCTTTTCTAAACAGCTTAGGGACACTCAAAGGGCTTTTAAGGGAAGGTAAATACAAAGCTTAGGATTTGAGGGAAGAGATCTCACTCCACAGGGCATAATGATGTTTGAAATCCTGAAACAGCTGCTGAATCTTTGGCTTGGTGCCACTATTAGAATTGTGGTTAACTAATAACAAATTCCCTGACCATTGAAATGGATACTTTTGGGGTTTGGGGTCTCGTGAACAAAATACTGTTTCATTACAAGGGTTAGAACCTTGTGCTAGTATAACTTAATTCTGTACATGCCTACCCAGAAGTAAGTCTGATTTAAATTGCAGGTCAGATGGTAGCAAAATTGTTCAGAAGCAGGTATCTTTTATATATATATATATATATATATATATATATATATATATATGCGCGCGTGTGCGCACACACACACACACACAGCAGAGAGAGATTCCCTTTGCAAATGAAATAAAACACACATTGCTTATTTTTGTGTTTTTTTTTCAGCCATCTCAGGCTCAAGTAGCACATGCAAAGCAGGTATGCACTGCAACATTTTGTTGTGGTGTCCCAACTGTATCCTTAAAAGCCATGTAAGGTCATGGCCGTCACCATATTTAGGATTGTTTTGTGCTATGTGAATAGGGACGCGGGTGGCGCTGTGGGTAAAACCTCAGCGCCTAGGACTTGCCGATCGCATGGTCGGCGGTTCGAATCCCCCGGCGGGGTGCGCTCCTGTCGTTCCGTCCCAGCGCCTGCCAACCTAGCAGTTCGAAAGCACCTCCGGGTGCAAGTAGATAAATAGGGACCGCTTTATAGCGGGAAGGTAAACGGTGTTCTGTGTGCTGTGCTGGCTCGCCAGATGCAGCTTGTCACGCTGGCCACGTGACCCGGAAGTGTCTGCTGACAGCGCTGGCTCCCGGCCTATGGAGTGAGATGCGCGCACAACCCTAGAGTCTGGCAAGACTGGCCCGTATGGGCAGGGGTACCTTTACCTTTATGCTATGTGAAGAAATACTTTTGACAATCTACTTGAAATACCTGAAATGAACTAAAATTATGTTTTCTGTTCCTGCTGTGCTAGATGATGTAGAAAGACTCTGTGGGGGCTAAAATTAATTCTGATCATACAGCTTGTCAAATATGGCCGGCTGAGTTCTTGAAGATGTGCCATTAGTGCATGCAAACTGCATGTATAAACATGCTTTCTTTTATCATGCATTTATTTTTCAGGAGTTACACTGCAATTGTAAAAGTTCTACGTTAATAAGTCTATATAAAATGTTTCTGAACTGACTCAAAATTAGATTCAAAACGGTTGAACTTTTACTGAACCATTTTTTAAAAAAAAGTTTGTGTCTGAGCTGAAACTAAACTGGAAAGTCTAAAAATGGTAATGAAGCTAAACAGGAACTGAACATATGTTTAATTGTTTAGTTTGGGGTTTATGGATATGGAGGGAATGTTAGTTCTTACACTAACATTTGAACAGTGTTATTCTAAAGCATATCTAAAGCAAATTAAAAAATGGGGATCTTTTCTGAGTGACGGCTTTGTAAGATAGTTTTTTAAGAGGACAGAATACACACCACAATGACAATACATATTGTCAGCTCACTCGTTCAGTAAAAGTTCAGAAAAGTCTTGAAACAGCTTACAATTCAATATAGAGTACAATATTAAACATGGATTCATATATTTATCTATCATTACTAATTTTCTAAAAGGGCAATTCTTCCTCTCAGGTTGGCTTGTTATTTACACTATAAAAATGTTTCTTGACTTAAAAGTATAATCCTTTGGATTATAATTTTTCATTTGGATGCAAAGGACTGCATCTAAGTCATACTCAGAACAGATCCACTGAAATACATGGTCTTAAGGCTCATTGGTTTCATTAAGTCTGCAACTTTGTCAGATACAAATATTACTCAAAGTGTGAATATAATTGGCAGGAGTCAAGTATAACTTTTGGTGATGATACTTTATTTTGGGCCACAAAAGCTAACTGTTTTTAGTTTAATAGTTACAGAGATTGGTTGTTGCCACCTTACACACATCTGAAGAAAGGAAAGAGAATCAAATGACCCAGTAAATATTCAGACCAGTGATACCCAACCAAGCATGTTGTTACCAACTATTTAGAGAAGACTTCCCATCTATGGAGCATATGAGTTCAGTATAGCATATAATTCAAAAAGATGGTTTGTGTAAGAAGTAGTTTCTACTCTATAAGGGGTATGGAGGGTTAAATGGGAGAATGATCAAATGAAGAGGTGGAAAACTGGAGGTACCATTAGGATGGAAGAATAGAAGCTGATAATTGGATGAATGTAAGACAAAAAGAGAGAGGAAATACTGCAAATGTTGGAGAGAGAGAAATTATTGTTTTGAATGTTGCAGAATAAGGATTCCACTCTTGTATGTAGACTCAGATCACTACATAGCAGAGACTTGAGGTCTTACTATCTGGAATGTATTGGAAAATGTTAGAATTACCTGCAGACTGGCAGACAGCCGAGTATATAGTTTCCATTGCTGCACTCTGACTAGGCTTGTGAGATCACCATGCTATCTTTTTTTGAAAGCAAAGCCCTATCATTGTGTGGTTATACAGTGGATTAATAGCAACAGCTGTTGGAGTAACAAAGGATTAAAGCAACCATACAACATTATCAGCAATGAAATGTACGTGGCACAAGGCCTTTTATTGTCAGATAACTCCAGAGATTTATAGGATTATATGTATGGTAGGGAATGTTTTTGCAGTTCATTTTGGCATCCTTTCTGAATACTTTGACAACTTTTTAAAGCTCATGTTAGATTTACTGTGAGAATTAATACTGTGAAATATAATTGCATAAGAAATAAATGAAACATTTTTGTTCTATTTTTTTTTTGCAAGCAACTTTTAGTATAGTTATGTTAATATGTGCAAGTAACAGTTGGTTATGCAAATATTGCATTGAATTCACCTATAAGAAAATGGAACAGTCAGGTATATTGAGCCACTGCATATTACAGGGGATGGTTGAAGCCGTCACTGAATCAAACAGCTTTCTGTTGGCATATGGACACCGATTGTATACAGCTCATCGTATTTTAACAAAAGTGACACATAGTCCCAAGTCTTCAATTTAGAGTTCTGATAGCACTGTGAAGGCATACCAGGCCTCCATTCACCTTAGGAGGAGCAGCAAGTGATCTGCTTCAGTTCACAAAGAGCTGCCAAATGCACTGAAGGGAATCAGGATGTCCCCACAGGCAGGAATCTTCTATATCCACACTAGAGCTAATGTACCCATACCAGAATGTTGATCTGGTCATGGCAGTTTCACTTCCATAGTTAATACGAAGTTGTGGAAGAACAAGAGGGTGAAAATGGAAATACTGGGAAGCATGATTCAAGTTTCATGTGTTCTTTGTTTCTGTTCTTTCTCTTATGAATTACAGGCAGAACCAGCAAATTAACCTTTTATATCAGAAAATAAGGGAGAATGAACTCCGAGCTCAGCAAGCTCAGCAAGCAAGGCTCGGGCATATTGTGAATTGTGAAGACCCTTACATGAGTAGTTTCCAGGTACGAATTATTATTTTAGAATCATGAGGATAGTCTGCACACATCTGTTATTATGAAAGGCAAGCCCAGACTCATCTCATAGTAACTTGTATTACATTTGGAGAAGTGCAAAAAAAGTTTTGCCTTCCAGACAAATCAAATTATGGTTAAATACATAACCGTATTGGAGCAGTCTTATATATTGATAATAGTTTTAAATCAATTCAGTACATGTGTTGTTACTACTCCCTTGCATTTCAAAGCTAGTATCTCATTACATTTTATAAGCTTGGAATTTAAAACGCCTCAGATACAAAAGTGAAGAGATACATATTAATGAAATAATTATTTGTGTTGCATCATGAAAGAATCTGAGCAGCTGTACTATTTCAGAATGTAGGTTAGAGGTTTTATTCTTGATGAACAATTTTGCCATTGGATAACCTTTTTGTCTAGATTTTATAGACTAGTGCTCAGGCCTAATGTTGAGAGCAGATATATGGTTTGAGAAAGTGACTATGACAATTCCCCCCCCCCCCCAATAAGGTTAAGTTTTGTGAAACTTCTTTCACTGTGTTTGGAGGGGAGGACTAAAGGTGGGAGGGAGTTGACCTGACATGGTTCGTTGTACATGTTGAATTGCATAAAAATGAACTGCCAAACTTGTTTTTGTTTCATGCTCAGATGCATATTTTTTTATTTATAAAACTACTTATTTTATGTAGGGGACAGGGTCTATATCGGTGCACTATACAACAAAATATGCAAGTACAACAAAACATAAAATACCACAAAATACAAATAATATGCTGGGATATCAGCTGGAAACTGGATGTGTGCTATAGCTCAATATTACAAACAATAGGTTCTTTGTTGTCCACTTCTGTATGTTCATTACTTAAAACAATATAGCATTCAATATGTTGTACTCTTGCTGAGCTGGCCACTCTGATCCAGGTGAAAGGTTTAGAACAGCATCTGCTCATCTGTTCCCTTTCCCTCCTTTCCTTCTTCAAAGCAGCCTCAGTATGAGAGCACAGCGATGCAGGCTCAATTTGCAGAGAGATCTGTGGCCCACTGTGAAAGGGACGAGCTGGAACGAAAGCTTGCAGCAATGCAGAGTAAGGAGCTACAACTCAGTGAGTTTCTCAAACAAATGGCAAACAAAGCCAATGAAGATAAAAAGAAGATGGAAGAAAAGGTGGGTCTTGCATTGACTTCCCAAATGGTTTTATTGCTGAGACAAGAACATATATTTCTCAGACAAGTTGGCTGTACTTAAGGCTTCAGAATGATCCGTAGCATCTTTTCCCCCCTATATGACTCACAGGGCTGATACTACCATTTTATACAGCTTTATTCCTCTGGAGGGGAAACTCTTTTTTTACTGGAGCGGCACTGCATTATCTTGGAGGATGGGACAGGGTGAATGTGTGTATTTAATTTACTTGCACCTTAATCCCTCCAGTGTTACAATTGCTCTTAGTTTTTTAATCGTTAGAGCACAGCAAACATAGAGACTGAGGAACAGTATAATTTGAGAGATTTTAGAGTAGTGCCAATGGTAGTACATATCACCTTATCTATTGGAGCATCTTTCATGACCACACTACTACTAAAAAAGCCAAAATGGCGGCTAATGCAACAGCCTTTGGAACCAAGACTAGTTCAGTTCTGCACATTATGAAAATGAAGCAAATAATTGCTAATGTTGTTCGCCCAAGCTGTGGAAGAAGAAAAGGAGTTATTGTAAGGTACAATCCCTCCCCCAAAACCCTACTTTGTTTTCCTGTTCCTGGCTTTTCTTCACTCCCCATGCCCTCCAGATGTCATCTAATAACCTGTTTTGCACATTCACCAGTTTGAATCACTGCTGATATTAAGTATGAAGGATGCTTGTGTGTAACAAATACTAGGCACAAAATATATATTGCATTTTAAAGTATGAAAAAAGATACTCTACTACACACTATTCATTAAACATAATCCTTGTTAACCAATACATTATAAAAGCACATGTACATCTGCTGGTGCTGATTATCAGATATAATGAAGACATGATTTTTAAAGAGTGCTTTATGAAGTGTAACTTTAAAAAACAGTTATTATGAAATCTTCTGATGGATGTTAGTTTTGGATCATGTGCTGTTTGGATTAGGAGTATAGATTTGAAACTTTTCTTATATCTATGGCAGTCATACATCCAAGAAATAGGCCCATAGGACATATTTTGGAGAAGTTGTTTTTGAGCCTCATTAGTGGCCATTATAATTCCTTGGTTCCTCCTTATTTATCCTCTCACTTCTATTCCTGGCTGAACCCCACTCCTGGAAAGGTATTTGTGTATGCATTCAAAGGCCATGCCTAGCATGGATATTTCACATGCGGCCTTGCTTATATAATATGATACAAGCTACAGAATATGGAAGCAAGTTTCAAACTCTCATAGTGACTAGTACCAAAAGTCTACAAGACTTTTGGAGTAGCAAATGATGAACATGAGCAAGGCTTCCTTATCCTGTAGACGTTTTCTCACAGAGGCTCTTGCTCACATTTCCACATATGGGGGGTGGGCACAAAAAATGTGGTTGACTGCTGTATGTACAAGACACTGGCAGGGATTATGTGTGAAACTGCCCATGGGTCTAAAGCTCAAATCCATACAATCACAGAAGCAAAATTTTTAATTGCTCTATTTTGGAAGAAAGAAAAAAGCAAACCAATCACTTGTGTTTATATATATGTTTTGTGGTTTCCGAACTGCTGGTTTAAATAAAGGAAAAGCATCTTTAGATAAACACACATCTAACTACTTTTAAACTGTAAAGAAATGTTTAGCTATGGAAATAGTCAGCAAGAGCTCTTAGCTTTTAAAAAGATAAATGACCTATAACAATCCATTTATCTTTTAAATAAAAACAGTTCTACTCCCTGCTGAGAAAATAACTTTCAGAATCTGCTGAGTTTTAAGTATCAAAGAAATCTTTCAAATTACCTTGTGCATATTTGATTCCGACCTCAAAGAATGAGATGCAATATTACTCTCTTTCTAGCTCAAAACTAGAGACAGGTACATAAGCAGCCTGAAAAAGAAATGCCAAAAAGAATCGGAGCAAAACAAAGAGAAACAGAGAAGAATTGAAACTCTTGAAAAGTACCTGGCTGACCTGCCAACACTGGATGATGTTGAAAGTCAAAGTAAACAGGTAATCTGTGTTTCACCTAGAGCTTTTGCTAAATGCATATTATGAATTGCAGAACATAATACTTGCTCACAATGTCCTTGGGTAAACATTAAAAGGTCATGACCGCCTGTAACTTCTCTGCATAAGCCCTGTAGAAGTGATTGAGTGCTGCCCCAAAGCTCGTACACAGATCTCATAATGTTCTAGTGAATTGTGCTCAATGATTTAATAAGAAATTTGCAGTTGCCAGAATTCGAAGGTTAAATTTGTTGCTCTTCATCTATATTCTGTTCCTTTTCTGTTAAGGGAACAAACAGTATCTGGTTTCTTTTGTTCTTGACTGGCATAGTAATACATTGCTGCAATGTTTACATTAAGATTTTTTTATAATCATCATCATCATCAGACACATATCTAAGAAAAGTCAGCAGAAGTGAGGGCCTTTGTTACACATAATTTAAAAAAAATCAAAATGCAATGTAATTAATAATGCAAGGAGACTGATAGTTTGACCCATGATTGCAGATGTTTTATAAAACGAGAGCCCAAAAAAGGAACACCCTGGAAACAAGAAACAAAAAAAGGGAGATGAAGCTTCAGAAACATGCTTAAAGTGGAACCATTTATTGAAAGTTCAGTGTGCCTGCTGCATTTTGATCTATTCCCTCCTATTTTGATGAAACCTCTTTTGAACAAATGACTACAATATGTGGAATACAATTTTAAATGGTTTTGCTCCTGAATAAAGTTACTGTATATTCCGAAACACATTGACAATGTTCCATTTTCTAATAAATTTTAAACTGTTCCATTTCTAACATCATGTTGAAGCTCTGACTCCCTTTTTGTTTGTTTCTGCTTCTTGAAGCAAACCTCTTGAAGAATGGTAAAGTGTGATTGATCCATGACCTTCAGAGGTCCTGGAAACATTGCTTGCCTCAGTCTCTCCCCCCACCCTACCCTTTGTGAAATCTCCAATTTGCAAACAATGTGATTCTTGAAGCATGTTAAAGAATACCACATGACAAGAAATAGGAAAAGAAATAGTTCATGATCATTTAGCACTGAGACGCAATAAAAAAGTCAGACACATCAAAAGAAGTGCAAATATAACTCAATGTATCATAGTACACAGATCATTTTAAAATAACAAAAAAATACAGACAAATGAAAGGTAGGAGGAAATACAACTAAGCAACCTGATATGGGCAAACAACACTTTTGAGTTGCCAATAAAATATTGTAAAGCTGGATTCAGATTATGTAGTATTTAAGTCTTGTTTATATCAGGGCTTATGCATATGATTTAAAAAAATTAAATCCTCCAATCATCAGTGGGTCTGGATGAAAAATACTCTGATAAAGGTGTCCAAGCATCTACTGTACAGTAGTACCTCGCAAGACGAAAGGGTTTTTTGTTTTTTGAGCTGCTTCGCAAGAGGATTTTCCCTATGGGCTTGCTTCGCAAGACGGAAACGTCTTGCAAGTTTGTTTCCTTTTTCTTAACACTGTTAATACAGTTGCGACTTGACTTCAAGGAGCAACTCATAGAACGCGGTGTGGTAGCCTTTTTTGAGGTTTTTAAAGACTGGTGATTTTTGAAGCTTTTCCAAAACTTTCCCAACACCGTGCTTAGCAAGACGAAAAAAATCGCAAGACGACAAAACTCGCGGAACGAATTAATTTCGTCTTGCGAGGCACCACTGTACTTCGAATCATACATCAGTGGAATATCCATCCACATAGAAACAAAATGCACCCCATTGCCTATTATAATACTTGCCACTGAAGAGCAACATATGGTTACAAAGCACCTGACAATTCAGTGTCTTGATATACACATCAGGAAGTTCAGTTATATTCTGTTCTATTAACCCAGTATTGTATTACTGTGTTCGAAAGCATTGTATGAATAAATTAACAACACCACCACCACTTTGTTGGTTATTTGATCTACAGTAAACATGCTTCTATATAAAAATATATTTGCTTCTATATAAAAAAATATTTTGGCTTCTCTCTAGCTTCAAGTTCTTGAAGAAAAGAACAAGCAGCTGAAAGCTACTTTGGCTGAGCTCGAAAAGGCTCTAGAAGAGTCCAAAACACAGTGTAAAGAACAAGAATTGCAGCTAGTTTGTCAAAAGAAGAAAGAGAAAGAATTGGTAACAGCAGTGCAGAGGTATGAATAATTAACTTGATCTGTTGTTTATGACTCTCTAGGATCTTTCTATTCCCTTCTGCGTCAGTTCAGTTTTGGTGAAGAGATTCACGTGAACTCTGTTGTAATGTCAAACGCCAGACTGCACTACACAGAAGGCAATGATGCAGTATGTTGCAAAGCACAATTGAGATGTGTCAGAATATCATTTTTAATATGTGGGCATTGTTGAATTGCTGCTTTTAGGGAAAGAGGGTTGAAAATGAGAAATATGAGGTTGAGCTGAGAAGGATGTAACAGAAAGCCTGCCTGGTTGCTGAGGATTCAGGTCTTCTAACTAATCATGTACTTGTCTAGAGTAGGGACCTTGAACTGTTAACTTGTGGACCAAATCAATCTTATAGAAAGATGCCATCTAGTTGTAGAAATCTTGTTGAAGGTATTAGAAATACTTCAGGTACTATTCCTGCCACCACCTATATCATAATTTTAGGCATGTCAAAGCTGTCGTGTAAATTCAAAGTCTAGTTTTGCTGTTTGAACTACAAACAAGAGGAAATAAGGGTGACTTGTCTGCACAGTAGCTTAGGAGCACACAGACACCCCTTACTGTTTCCTGGTTAACGGGAATCACACCAAGCAACCACATTTGCAGTTTCCCGAATGAACAGTCCCTACAGCTGACATATTCTGGCTAGAAAGTTGCAGGGCATCTGCCTAAATGGTACAATGGAAACATTCCTACTTACCATAACAAGTTCCAGAGAAGCATTCAGGTGTCATTTGTGCCATATGTTTCCCCAGTTAGCATCAGTAGGGCAGAGACAGCATGACATGCATTAACCCACTGACCACTTGGTTGATGAATGCAAAAATCAAAGGAATGAACATTCCATTCTGGTTGACGGATAGAAAGAGTGCAGTCTGGTTACTATAAGTTAGTTTTGCCTTGGGGATCAAATTCTTACTTAGTTGTTAACTCATTGAATGACTTTGGATATGTTACTGTCTCTGATCTGCCTTCATAGCTGCAACTGTTCCACAATGGATTTGTAGTTACAAAGAAACAGAAAGCAGGATACCAATTGAGATGGATGTTAAAATGAGAGAATGTCACTACAGCACAGACTACTTTATTTAGAATTGTTTTATTTAGAATCTATTGTTTTATAAAAGGCTTTTAAAAAGCAAAACCTAAAGGAGCACTCATTTGAAATTATGCAATAAAGGTAATGGAAGCCATTTTAGAATTTAATTTCCAGTAGTCTGAAACATGTGACATTTCAGTTCGTGACCCTGCGTTGCTTAAAAGTGCATGCCACAAAAGCTTTGTTCAAATGATGAAAGGTTAGGTATTTGGGACAGTTAGCCAGATCACTGGGTGCATTGTTTCCATCTTACATCTGGTACCTATTGCATTTGTGAGTGTGTAATCCACCAGGGTGGCTTTGCAGTCTCCTGAAAGTCTATAAATATTTGAAGCAGAGTCTTGTTTCTAAATTTAAACAACAATTGTCATTGTCATCATTCGTGTTTTCATTTTTGAAAGATGAGGCGGAGGGAAGCAGAAGTGTGATTCTTCCCTGTGCTGGGGCATTTGAGTGTTGTTGACAGGGGTAGGTTACCCAGGACTCTGCATAACCAGAGATTGGGGAAATTTCTGCTGACCCTAGGCAGCTAGTCATCTGGAAGCCTGATTTCAGATATCCACCAAGTCATGCTGCAATTCTAGTTAATCTCTTGTAACACTGAGGCGGCCAACATGGTGCCCTCTAAAAGGTTTCGGACTCAATTCCCATCAGCCTCAGCCAGCATGGTAAGTAGTCAGGAATGCTAGATGTTGCAGTCGCAACAGCATCTGGAGGGTACCATCCCTGCTATAAAGGGCTGTAGGTTCTGATGGCACTCTCAGAGGAAGAATTGGCTGTCTACAGGATCATTTCTTAAAATGAACCTGTCAACATAAATGTGCAAACCCACTCCAATAGCATGCATTAACCATAAAACATCTCCAAGAATGAATCTGTGTACGGAATCTTTCACTTTTGCAGAGCTTACTTATTTCCTGCACAGGATTTGACTCTGGAGTTTTGGTATGCAATTTCTGCTTTCTTTTTGCCTTTTCAAATCCAAACTACAGCCTGCAACAGAAGGTAGAAAAATGCCTGGAAGATGGTGTCCGCCTTCCTATGTTGGACACAAAACAGCTTCAGAGTGAAAACGAAAGCCTCAAAGAGAAAAATGAAAAAGCTAGCAAGGTACATTCATTAAACTGGGATGATCCACCTGTGTCTGAAGAGCTCTTTTTGCTATTGATGTTTGCTGTTACTATATTGTCAACCTGTTGTTGTGTCTCCCTGCCCCAATATATGTTTCCAACAGCAGCCAGTGAAGCACTGGCAGGTGCCACTGGGTGGCAGTAAAGATGGGAGGATAAAATACCCCCAGAAATAGTAATGTACAGAGTCAGACCATTGGCCCATCTAGCTCAGTATTCTCCACACCCAGGGGGTGGGAGGTTGCAGTTGAGATCAGGCACATGTAATTCTGCAGTTGCTGATTGACTACGTGTCCCCACTAAGCGGTTGTGCACTTAGGCAGTGCAGACCAAGACACCCTCTGTCTCACATTTCTGAGCATGTTTTCCCCTACCCCATAACTGCCCCCACAGCATCATAAGGCTTTTCTTGTTACTAATTTCATTCCTGATCTTGCAACATCCTAAGTTGTTGTGTTTTTTATAGCACTGCGTGTCCTTTGCGTCCATTCCCAAGCTTACAACAAATTAGATACCTTGACCTCACAAAAATTTGACAGATACATCAGAGATACAAAGAGCATTTTTGTGTGTTCTTCTCCTAACAGGTCATAGACAATCAACAGAATCAGATTGCCGAGATGACTTTAGAGATTCAGGTAATGAATTGTGTTTTTCAGGCGTTTAACCTTAGCCTTACTAGTGATGAAGATGCATCCTCTCCATGAAAAGAAGGGTTGGCCTTAGGAGCTTCATGAGACAGCAGTAATCTATAATATTTACACTGTTTAATTGTAGTTGTGCTTTTATTTGCAATCTGCTTTGGGTTCCCAAGACAGAATGGCTTCATATAAATACACTGAATACTTGAATGATGCCACAACCTTCACATAAACATAATGCAGGGAAGAAGAAATGCATGACAATAATTAAAGCTGAAGTCTAGGGCTAGGCAATGTTAGGTTTTCAACACTGCAATGTGGTGATACACTGCGATGTTGAAAGGGTGGAATAAGCTGCATTGGCCCCAGCCCTGCCAGGCACCGGCGTGAAACTGTCACCACTGCTGCCGAGGTGGTTTCATCCTGGGGCCAGAGCCGATGCAGCTAGAGGGGTGGGCTCCCAGATCCAGGAGAAAAGATGCAGCCCACCCTCCTGGACGAAGGCAGTTGGACAGGCCCCATTCTCAGGGCTCCCTCTGCTTTCGCACAGGTGGGCTACCTATCTGTCCCATGTGAAGGCAGCAGTGGATGAAGGCCACCACAGGAATGCTCCATCGGTGTGGCTTCAACCCCCTCCTTCCGCCTTGGCAGCTGCCTGTGAGAGGTTGGGGGGGGGGGTTGATCAGCTGAGAAGCAGGCTGCCTTCAATTGCCCGCTTCTCAGCTATTCAAGCCCCTGTGGGGCTTTGTTAAATTGCTCAACTGAGTGGAGCAGTTTAAAGAAGCCGTCTGCTGGTGGCATGAGAGCAAGAGGGCTGTTTCACCCAGCAGTCACTCCTGAGTCTCTCTGGAGGCAGGGGGACTCAGGAGCAGCTGCTGTTTCACCCGCGATATATCGCTGAGTGAACAGTCATTGCTGTCTGGCCCTCATACCGGTCCTGGGTGATACATTGCCCAGGCCTGTCTGGCGCTTGCTTGTTTCAGCCCCCTTTAAAACGCAGGCAGAATCATGTGCACATAGGAAGCATTTCTTCACCACTGGAGCCCATGGGCCTGCTGCCCTCATCCAGCTGTCAAAACAAGCTGAGGCAGCAGAAGCAGTACACCCCTTTCTCCCTTATTCATACCACAAGACCATCAAGAGAGCTTCCGGCAATCGTAACATCAGCACAAAAATTATGTATGAACACTACAAACTGAACAAAATAATTGGGGGGGGGGTTTACTGGGTTGTTGTTTTATTTTGATTGTGTATATATATTGTGTTATGTTGATCTTGTTCTGTGAACCGCCCTGAGACCTCCGGTTATAGGGTGGCATACAAATTCTATAAATAATAAAGGCAAAGTGTGGATTAACCTTCAGACAAGACAGGCATGCATGCAAAATATGTTAGTATGATCAAGTTTTGATAAGACAAGTGATTTTTAAAACCAAACGATAGCATATGTGAGCAGGTCTTTAATTAATAATCTACAAACTGTTTAATGGAAGCATTATAAAATGCAACAAGGTTAGAAATATTACTTTTAAAATTAAGAAAAAACCAACGTAGAGAAGCTGTCTGGTGATTGACCATGTCCCAAAAGATTTATTCAGAAACTACCCAAACACTAAAGTTCCTTGAACAATTGTTTGGATGTGATTTCTTTGGATTATTTCAGAGGTTCAACTCATCTGAAAATGGCTCCTTTGCACAGCTGAAACATGCACACTGATAGGAGACTAGGCCTGGGTGACATATCACCCAGGACTGGTATGAGGGGCAGAGCACGATGGCAGCTTTATCTGACAGTATATTGCAGGTGAAACTGCCACTGGTAGCAGAGGGACTTGTGAGTGGCGGTGGTTTCACCCATGATATACCACCATCACGCTCTACCCCTCATACTGCAGAGGGAGGAGCAAGCTGCATCAACAGCTGATACAACTTGTTCATTTCTTGGCTTCTTTAAACTGCTCTGCTGAGGCATGGGTAGCCACACACTCCTTAGAAAACAGTTTAGCAGAGCTGGCGTGGGGGCTCTCTTAAACTGCTCCTGCCCCCCCCCCAGTTGAGGAACCCCAATACCTCATGCATGAGCTGGGAACAAGCTTTGCCATCCCCCCAGCCCCCAGTACACTGGGGTGAAACTGCCTTGCGGGGCTGGGGCCAATGCAGCTTGTTGTTTCAACATCACAGTGCACCAGAGTGTGATGTTTAACTTGTGATACATCGCCCAGCCCTGTATGAGACCAATTTAAACATTCAGCTGGTTGTTCTAAAAAAAATGTACCTGTGTGACTCAGGTTGGAGTTGCTTCATTAGTAGGAACAGTACTTCAACAGTCTTCTTGGAGTCAGTTGGAAAGAGTAAGATGTCATCAACGTATTGATGATACTGAAGTCCAAATCCCAAAATCATGTCTCCCAGCGGTTTCATATGGATGTTGATCAGCATAGTGGAAGATGGATCCCCTTGTGGACACCATAGGCTAATGTTCAAGATGCAAAACAGAAGTCTATTAGTACTGTCCTAAGAAATTCTCCTGCCAAAAGGATGAGAGCATGGCAAAGCAAGACCCATCTGAGCCAGGCAGCCCATACAATGGCCAGTGGTACTGAAGGTGATTGAAATGTCCAGCAGAAGCAAAAGGAATGCATTCCTCCTGTCTGGTTTCCAACAGAGGTTGTCCAGTAGAACAGCCAAGACACACTGTATCCTGTAATTAAGATTGAAGCCAAATGAAAAAAAGGATCCATTTCAACCAGGAAACCCTACATATCTGATTTATGTGAAGTTATCCGTGCATAACATCGCATAGATAAGTTTTCTGTACACGTTCCACCTTACTTTTAGATTGAACTTTGTAATTCTATGATATGATTGTAGATCTTTATTAAATGCCAGATAATTAGTTTGATCTTGTAGTTAATAAGGCATGTCCCATAAAGTATATTCCCAAAATGCCACTGTATGTTACAGTAACGTGTGAAATCCCTCCCAAGCATTGCCTTTTGCTAATCTGAAACATAAAACTGAACATACTTTCCCAAGACATGGTATCCTGTAGCAGAGTAATATCAGAGCACAAGTCTGAACTCCAATTTTATTCAGAGGGAATTTATTGCAGTCAATTGGAAATGGATGCTAGGCTTTGCTTAAGGATGCAGTCATCAGAGTATATGGGTAAACCTCAGCACACAATAATACAGCATGCTTGGATGGAGAGTAACATAAAGTAGGGGAAATCCCCTTTGAAAGCTTTACAAGAGGAGAATGAGTTGGAACTTGTCATCCTTTGCAGCTTAACTTTTATTAATGCCTAGAGTACAACAATTTGAACACTCTAGATTCCAGCCAAATAAAACCAGCAAAGCACAAGCATGGACATATGTGATATTGCAGTTGACTAACCAACACGTTGAGCAGAAGAAAAAAATAACTTCTGTCAATCTATAAAAGTAGGAACGGTTATATTACATGGATGCATTTCTCAAAACCTAGCAATTGCATACTAATCATCAAGTCAGCACTTCATGCAAAGTAGGAGTGATGTTTAGCTGTTTTTAAAAGTTATTTATATTATTTGTGGGTTATATAAATATCAAGAAATGGCCAGTTTGCTGAATGATGAGAAGAGGAGCAGGGTTGTGGGAAAGAATCTGAATAGCTAAACTGACAGTGGTAGGCAAACAAGCACCAGAAGCAAGCAGGATATGTTGAGAGGAAATTGTGGGCAGGGAGGGACAGCATGAAACTAAGGGGAAAGAGGGACCTTGGTCTAGAAGCAAATCAGTTCCTCTTTCCTTTTCCAAGGGCTGTTGAGGTCAGGGGATCCGCAATACTCCAGCCATGGCTCATGGCACTGCAGCATGTAGGGATGGGAAGTCCTAACCATGGTTGACTTGAGTCTCTTGGGACCTAAACTAATTGCTGCTCAGCTCTCAGAGACTATGACACAATTAATTCACAGCCAGGAAAGATTGTGTCCCCACCCCTCCCCAATATCTGAAAGTGTTAAAAGCCAGAAACTGAACTGTAGAATTGGTAGCTGTATTTCTGTCCCATGGTGTGAAGCTTTGCTGTATTTTAAATAATGGGAAACTAAACTTGAAAAGAATTCCATCCTGCTAGTCATGGATTAAATTAGCATAAATTTGACACTTTGTGGTTAAGATATGTAATAAAAAAAGGAAGAAAGTTTGGAACAGATTGTGTTGAACAATAATTTGAGACACAGTGCAGAAAAAGTCTATTTAAAATTCACTGGTGGTATTTTTCCACCTAATTTGAACCTCTCAAAAAGTATGATTTGGACAGATAAGTGGATCTTTTGTCTTCTGAGATTTTCAGCCCTGGATTTCAAGAGATGATTGATAGATCACACACACACACGACTGCTGCAAATGTGAGGGAGAAGTGCTCTTCGTCAGACAAACCCTTTACCTGCCAGGTGTCCAGGGGGCTTTGCAAACTAAGCCCACTCTTGGACACCTTTGGGGATTTCAGAGGCTGCCCTGGTTCCTTTGAGCACTGCAGAAGTAAAAACTGAGGGTGGGAGTGGAAAGCTGACCCGCCATGAAGGACCATCTGGCCCTAAAGGATCCTCTATGGGTAATGGACCTCCAGTGCTTGACTGAGGGGACCTCTCGCTCCCCATAATTCAGGTAAAGAACAGTTTCAGGTTAAGAACGGACCTCCGGAACGAATCACAGTGTACTGTGTACAGTGTACTGTAATTCATTCTGGAGGTCCGTTCTTAACCTGAAGCACCACTTTAGCTAATGGGGCCTCCCGCTGCTGCTGCGCCACCGGAGCCCAATTTCTGTTCTCATCCTGAAGCAAAGTTCTTAACCCGAAGCACTATTTCTGGGTTAGTGGAGTCTGTAACCTGAAGGGTATGTAACCCGAGGTACTACTGTAAAAGTTAGATGTTAGTTGAGCCCAGTTCTTTTCTTTCCCTGTATTTGTTTGAAGGCATGTTTTGTGTAGCTATTACATAAGTAAAGCTAAAGAGGTTCCTTGATAGGGTAGTATTAATGACAAATCACACAACTGTTACAGGATAAACACTCCCATCCATAGAAGCCAAGCAGTTCCCATTCTTATTCCCCTATGCTAAACACTGTAGAGGACTAAGTGAAACTCCTGGGTATCTAGCAGACCTTGGGGATATAGCTATATTGAATCCTTATTACAGGATGCGCATTCTCATGAACCAGGCCTCCAAGCATAATACGATTTAGCTTAGGCACACCACTAAAGTTCACTTGTTAGTGGTTATTTAAGTACATGCCTAGGTACATCCAATAAGTTTGTGGAAGGAAACTGGTTTTAAGATACTGGAGAGAGGGGGAGAGAGAGAGAGAGAGAGAGAGAGATTCTTTGGCTGTCGTTCACAAGAGAAGCAGAAGCCTCACTGCTGTACATAGAACAAGGAATCTGCCTCACACCATTGTGTGCAAGTCACAACATTGGTCCATCTAACTCAATATTATCTACACTGACTGGCAGCAGTGCTCCAGCATTCCTGACATTCCCAGCCCACCTAGAGAAGCTGGGGATTAAACTTTTGGCCTTTTGCATGCAAGACCACTGAGCTATAGCCCTTCCTGAGCAGTCACTAAAGCCCTTACATCCCCTGCCTCTCTATCCCTTAGAAGTAAAGGCAAAGGGCTACTTTTGCAGCCACTGCTGGTTCTGCCCCAGCATTATTGAGCATTGGCTGAAGCTGAAATGCTCCCCCCTCCATCTTCCCCACAAGAAAAGTTGTGGGGACTTTTTTTGCTGCTGAATAAGATGCATCAGCATCTGCCTCCATGAAGCCAGCCGAGGACAGGAATCCAGTAGATCAAATTTTTAGACTTGGCAGGGAAGGCCCCAAAATTGCACACCTTAGTCTAAATGACCTTCCCAGCTCCAGAGACTGGTCAGCACAATAGCCAGCATAAATTTGCCTAAAGTGCTCCTAGAAGACTGAAGTTACAAGCAGAAGCAAATGTAACTGACAGTGTTTGAGCTATAGGCTTATTGGACTACATGCTTTAAGGTGATTTTCTCTTTTTTTGCCCCCTAGTCTATGCAAGATAAGCTTTTGCAAGGAAAAGTGACAATTCAAAAACAGAAAAGTGAACTTGAAGAAAAGGATAAGAGTGTACAGCAGTTACAAAAGACGCTACTTGAAGTAAGTTTTTGAGATCGCATCTTTTGAGCCAGTTGTCTACCATGTCACCATTTTGTTCTATTCTATAAATACATCACAAAATTGCATTCCTGAGAAGGGATGAGGCGTAACAATAAGAGAAACAATAATTTCTCTTAAAGATAAGAAACTCTGGACACTACAAGGTAAGTGGTGATATTCTCGGTATAACAATCGTTGCCACAAACAGCTGATCTGTCACTTGAAGGAGAAATACTGTGTCTGGATATGGTGTTCACATTCCAGTCCTAACAGGTGATTGGCACTGTCCTCACTGATCACTAGTCTGGTGATGGAGAAGGACCACCAGTTGCTTACCATAAGATGAAGGATACAAGGACTCGCAGCTCATGTAACAGCAACAGCCTTTTTACACATTTAGGCTAGGAACCAAAAAACTGGAGAGATAGTCCTGCTTGTTCACAGAGGAGTTATGTTTCCCACACCACAGGACTATATGACAACTCACTTTTAGAGGGGGGGCAGTTTATGATATAGCATTGTGTGTTGCTGCTGGAGGGGAGAGGGAATGTCAGAAATTCCACTAATAAGCCAAATCTTTGGGTGTACCCAGTGTCACTCTTTGAATCCCAGTAATAGACTTTATCCAGAAATGGAATCTACATCTAAAAATATGACCCTGTGCACACTTTCTGGATCAGGATGAGTTGTTTATAAAGTTTAACTAATGAAGGCTTTTCTATATTTTATATCCTATAGCAAGCAAGTATTGTCATCTTGATCTTTTGGAATGCATACTTAAGACTTTGATATTAATTGAACCTATACTAGAAACTTACATTTCAAGATGAAATGCTAAGGCAACTTATCAGTTTAAACATTGGGATTGTGAGACTTATCCTGACCCCATAATGCGTTTTTTTTGGTTTTTGTTTTTTTGTGGGGAAGGGAAGATGCATCATGTGCAGTTAATTGTTTGTCATTCCCTGTCTAGGGTAATAAAACACATTTTGTCATTTATTGAATTGTGTGCATGATTGAGAAATCTTCTGGGAATATTCCTTAAAATGTATATTGTAAACATGCCTTGCTGGATTAAATAAAGTCCAGCCTTCTGTTTCCAACAGCCATTTTCAAGATGCCTTTAGACATTCACAAGCAGAATTTAATGGTGATGAGCAGTCTTTATTGCTTTCCCACACCATTTCCTTTTCAGAGATAGACTGGCTCTGAAGACAGAGTTCATTTTCATTAAAATGGACAACAGCTTCCGAAATAACTTATGCCTGTTATTTATATAATTTTTCTAATAAACAGAACCAGTGAATAAATGTCTGTATTTTTTATTTTCTATCTCCCTAATTAAGAACCAAAGATTTATGGAAGAAAATGCATCTTTGAGGGAACAGATTCATCAGATGGAGCTGTCCAGACAGCCGGCGGCTGAAAAACTACCTGTGGCTGATCAGTTATTCAAGGAAATGTCTCACTGTTTATTTGACTTGAAAGCACTTTGCAGTATTCTTACCCACAGAGCTCAGGGCAAGGAGCCTAACCTGTCCTTACTGCTGGGAATCAGATGTAAGTGATTTGAACAATGAGAAGACATATCTGTACAAGTAAAATCCAGGAATTTGGCCAGGGAGAAAGAGCAAGTTTGCGGGGGGTGACTTGTACTTTATAGTTATAATGTTGACAACCAAACAGAAACCTTCTGGTTTGGCATTTAGTAGCCACAAGATTTTTTAAAAATTGCTTCTTACCTACTCAAGATTAGAACTTACTGTAACAGTAAAATAAAACAAGACAGGTTACATTTATGGACGGTAAAAAGAATGCAGGAATTATTAGACTTTTCTGTTCTTCCAGAATCTGTGGGAAGGCGTATTACAATGGTTGTCTCCTTATAGCTCCCCTACAAGCCGCCTTCCTGCCCTTATTTTCTGTCTCAGTACTAGTCTTGCTTGGCTCACTTGTTGATGGCCTTCTGCCAACAGGCAACCCCTTTTAATTTACACAGATGTTTGGCCTACTGGTCTGGTTTGGTTTGCTCTGCTGCTCTGTATTTCAACCTGCATTCCTAATTAGTTATATTTTAAACTTGCTGTTATTTTTTGTCTGCTCTTATGTGATTTTTATATCGCTTATTTGTTTGTGAATTAGTTGGGGGGGGTTGGCCACCTTGTACATTTTTTATGGAAGGGCGGGGTGTAAATTTAACACATACATAAATAATAAAATAGAGGAAGGTTGGTGGTGACTAGCAATGGATACAGTGAACAGCTCTGCAAAAATAAGGTAACGTCCAGTTCCGTTTACACCAGCAATTCAACAAATCAGATTCATACATCATGATTATTATTCCATTCACCATTATACACTGCAACACACTGGAGCTAAAATCGCTTCGGAAATATGCACGTGAGCCTTAACTCATAGCCTTACCTACTATTGCCAATTAAAGCTTACGGCCCTTGTAAAAACTACAGCAGTGTAATAATAATGATGATGATGATGTATGCAGAGCAGCTCATCTCAAAGAAAGCAAAAGATATTGTAAGAACAACTGTGTAGGCTAAATGCTGGCGTTCTACATTGGTGAGCTAAAAACAGTGCATGGAAAACTGCTTTTCAGAAGCTGATCCTCTTATGTGCTTGAGCCCCTTGTAGCTTTTCAACAGCATACCCAATGTGCATAACACTCTCTGTGGCCTCTAAGTGGTCAGGTGTCGTGTCCCACCTGCACAACTGATTCTTGCTTCTGCAAATGGGACTTATCCTTACACGCACACAACCAAGAATCTGGTAAAGGGTCGGGGGACCCTCTCAAGGAGATTGGTTGGGTGGCTGTGAGGAAGGGGTTGCCTTTGCATCTGTCGGCGCAACATTGATTCTGACCCACATCTGAAGTAGAGTAAACCTTGTCCTGAAGTGGGATACTTCACATTTAGAGCAGCAGCATTGTTAATTCGGGGGGGGGGGGAGGAGAAATATTAACCAAAATCACTCTCTGAATGTTTCCATTCTTGTTGCATTGTTGGCAAGAAACCAATATTAAAAAAAACCCTTTTCTTCCACATTTGTGGAAGGGAAAGTGCCACATTTTCATTTTCATACTTTCTTTTCAATGCACCAAAACAAACATTGGCTGGAATATTTGAATCAAAGTTAGGTGTGTTGACTGTGTGTTTACCTAAGCTGTCTTGTCTTTTTATTATAATTTCAGCAATGAGCTGCTCATCTGAAGATGAGAATTACCACAGCACAGAAACTCTCTCAAAGAAACTCTTAGAGGTGTGTCAGTTACGAAAAGATATTGATGAATTGAGAACTATAATATCAGACTGCTATGCTCAAGACATGGGAGAAAATTGCATTACACAGTGATAAAAGGTTTGGCTCACAGCAACAGTGACTTAAGTTATTAAATGCTGCTCTGGTTTTAGTTCCTTGTGTTTATGTTAAGGAGCCATACTGGAAGACATGCTCCGTGTGCCAGATCAAAGGGTTTCAAGCGTTTGCATGTAAGTTCATGCCGGTGAAGCAGTCGTCACTTGAAGAGAACGGGACGTGCTGCACGAGAGATCTGATTTCTTCAAAACTACTGAATGTAGGTCAAAGCTGTGAAGAATGTGTTTCTGTTGGAAATGTTGGATTTTGTTTCCTCTGACATGGTCTGTAAAAGCATCCATATTGTCTTCTGGAGTCAAAAAACTTAAGTGTCAGAAGAAGGCACTACAGTTACTGCTGTATCATCCCCCCCCCTTCAGCAAAGCTTTAGGGTACAAGATCAGGATTGAGAATTTTACTAGGGGGGGGGGAGAGTTTTAAGTGCCCTGCCGTGTGTAGGTATTAAAACTGGATGATGACATGGAGGCTCCTTAGAAGGACTGTTTGAGGGCAGGCACACACAAAGGTAGCCTGCCTACCTTGCAATGTTTGCCATCTCAGCTTGGTAAAGGTCATTTTACTTAGCAATTGATGTCCATTGATCATCAGTGTTCCTCTTAGACAAAGCAGCACATAAGCTCCTATATTTTCAATAAAGCATAAGAAGTTCAGGCCTGAGAGTTTAACTGTCATCCTGTGAGCCTCTTCTGCACTATATTAGTGTGGAAACTTTGCTGTCAATTAAGTTCATTTGTGACCTGGGTGCATTATACATGGATGGCTAACCTTCCACTGCCCCATTCTTGGGACCTGACCTGGACATACACACCACAAGCATTTTTCCTGACCCCTCAGGACCCCATTGATTTTGGCAGCATGTGGAAAAAGCCAAAATTAAAATAGTCACCTTGCTGGAGTGGGCTCCAACCAGTACCTTGATGGGGATGCAAATTAGCCTCTCCTTGATACCAAATAGTTCATCTTCGTGGATCATGTGAGGCGGGGAGGCTGCATGTGTGCCTGTACATCTGGGCTTCATGTGTATGCCCAAGAGTGTGATATGGTCACCCCCAGAGGGTTGGCCAAGGGTTAACACAGTCATTCAACCCAAAAGGTTAGCCACCCCGGCATAAAGGCTAGAAAGGGTTTTTTTAACACACACAGAAAGAGCAGGAGAATATTGCATCCTTATAATCAATACCTAATTACTTTAAATTTCTCCAGGAGCTCACTCCAGCACCCAGGAAGTTTAAAAGCTAAAAGAAACATGTTTAATTCATGTGTTCTGAAAGTCATTGTTCCTGGTGGATAGTTACAATAGGAGTGCTCTAGAATTAGGAAGCTATGTACCCAAAATCACTTGGTAATCCAGACTGCTCTATTTTGCTGTGTTAAAGTATACATATCCTTTCTGCCAAGTCAAGCCTGCTGTCACTTTATTCTGACAATCAATTATATAAAGCAACGAAGTGCTTCCTTTTGAAAGAGAAAGGAAAAAAGAGAATAAGGTACGTTTTGCTTATTTATGACAATTGGCCCTGATGTGCAGAAAGCTATAGACTGGTCTTGCCAACTGTCATAGCTAAAAGTGAGCAAGAGCTTCTTTTGAAAAGGTTGCCATTTTCAGTTTTATATGTTATGTCTCCATTTTACATTGTTGGTTTATGTTGAAATACCATTTGCATATGATAGTACTTATTTCAAAAAAAGAAAAACCTATTCTAGTCATTTTTTTCCAGAGTTATATTTATTTAAATTGGTGTTTCTTGATCAACACTGTCCTGACTTCTGTCTGTGGAAATTTATTTTAGTATTTATCTTAACTACTGTTCAGTGTTTTCAAATGGAGATTTGTAAGTATTATCTTGAAACAACTTTGTAAGCATGAAAGTACTTAGTCCTCCGTCCTTACAACATAAAACAAATTGCTTGAATTTAAAATACTAACAACTGCAAACCCCACTACAGTTATTAGAAAGTAGGTCTAATTAGGTGGTATTGTACTCAAGTTAAGAATTGCTTTGTTTGTTTCTATGCAGATGAGGGTATGAATGGTGAAAAATAATTCTAATCAATTTACTTTCACGCCAGGAAGCAACTGAAAGTGTGATAAGACACTGACTCAATGTGCTATGCTGTAGAGATGTCTTAAAGATGACTTGATGGTTAAAGTATTTTTTCACTGTTGCATCTTCTGTTTTATAAACAGAACTTTGCCATAAATTTGAGACTACAGCATCACCATAGACCAAGAAAAAATATTTAAGAGACTTAAAATAGAACTAATGGGCAGGAATCAACTAATCAAGTCTGTCAGCAAAAACCCTGTGCAAGGTCTTCTTCTGCTTGTGCAACAGGACTTCCCCTCATTCCTCCCCCTGTGTGCCTCCCAAAACGGGCTCTAGGGGTTGGGAGAAACCCAGAGTGTGGTGGTAGGAGAGGCAAATTGTTCTATCTAACGGAAATGCTTGCCCTGACAGAATGATCACCTTACCACGACATTGAATTCCTCCCATTGTCCGTAAACAGTATAGTTTTGGGACAAAGAAACTGAAGAAGTTATTTAATTTTTACATTGGTTGTAAATTAGGCAATATAAACTTCATATAAATTAAGTCCTTACCATCATCTACTCATTACCTTCATTACTTGTGGAAGATAACCCAGTTAGAGAGACAGTGAAGCTTTGCAAAGCACTTAGGAACAAGACTCTGCCAAAAGTTTGGCCACAAAAATTTAGGCATTGAGGGACAGAATGCTCACAGCTGTCCTGACTTCATATTATTCTATCTTTTGCATACTATTTACACTTTCTTATTTCCTTGGACTGCAGCCCTGGTGTCCTTTTAAAAAAAAGACATGGGGCTCTTTCTGAGATAATCACAGTCAGTCAGAGTTCACATAGGCAGTATGATAATGCCATCATGAAGCCAAATCGGAGTGAAAAGCATGATTCCTGCCGTCACTTGAACAGGCAAACATTTCCGCCTTGTTATGCAGCACCCATTGAAAATCACCAAAATAGAGGGAGTTTTTCTGTGCAACGTTCTCTCTGACACTCAGTATTTTTTAGCCTTGCTCTAGGACTTATTTGACCTCCTTGTTTGTTATCTATAAACTTATTTATTTCAGTTAATGTTGTCCCCTCCCAATTCATTTAAATGAAATGTTGAAATAGTGTGTTTTTTAAAAGCTTGTTTGCATAAGCAAGTTTTTAGAGCCCTTGGCTTTTTTAAAAAAAGACTGATATTCTTCTTTGGAAATGGAAAGCTGAACAACAAGAATATTCTCTAAATATGCTGAAGTGGAGTTACTATTTTAAAAACCTCATAAAGGGGAATAATTAAGTAATTGAGTAATGGAAGAAATTACTGCATCTTAATTTGTACGTAGGTATACGTGTAACCCTTGAAGAAGCTCAACATTTGCTCAGCAATTTTCTAAGAATAAAGCCCATGTTCTGCAGCAACTTTGGGCATTCTTCCAGAGTCCTTTTGAGACTTCTCCACATGTTCAGTGAAAGCATGAGGGTAGCAGGATCATGTCACTGGCCACAACCCCCTCCGCAGCTGCATGCTTGGGCAGGAGTGTGAAGGGGAGCAGCACATGTACTTACTGGCCATGGCTCCTCCTTTCCTGAAGGCCTTCACAGTTTTCAGTTGTAAACAAATAGGCCCCTTTCATGCTACTATCAAATGCACAGTGCAAGGGAGTGTGACTACTAGCATTTGCAGTTCAGCTACTCAACCACCCTTTCTGAACATACCCAGTGCATATGAAGATGATCTTGTTTTGCTGACATGAACTCATCTTTTAAGCACTGGATGTGGTGATACCATAAACAGTAGCCACTGTTACACACAACTGCTAGAATCTAGAAGGACACCTGCATTTGGAAGGAAACTTCCACTTACTGATGACAGGCTTCTCTTGTCTCAGTCATGGTTAAAGAATGAAAGGAGGTGGTAGCCAAAGACGGAAATGCCATGGGCAAAATTTATGTGAGCCATAAGGACACAGTGTTATATTATTTGAACTAATGTTATAATGCAAGGCCTGCTGTTTAAGTAGCTAAAGAGCCCATCGGTTTACAATGCCATTTTTAAAAAATAGGTAAGATATGCATGGGTATTTTCAGCAAAAAATAGTTGGTCCCGTTCAACGTATTTTATGTGAAGCTAACTAATACTAGCTTTTAAGAGAAGTGGTTAAAAATGGCATTACTGAGTAGGCTGATTTAGTCATGACAACCTTTTGCCACAGATATGAGAGACAATCCCAAGGGCTGAACAATATATTATGAATGAATGAAAGCTGCAGTTTTATCTATTAGAAAACATGAAAAGAAATGTACAAGCAATTTTCATATTTCAGGTTGTATTTCTATAATTGTGTAGATGGCATTTTGTAGTAACTACTGTAATTCAAGAATGTATTTCAAAAAGGAACTTGGAAAATTGTTTTTGGATATAACTAATGCTATTATTTATATGCCATATAAAATTTGTAGCGTCATATTTAGGTCAGTTCAAAATGGTTATGTAAACTTGACTTTAATGTCCAGTTAGGCCGCTTGTATATGATCCTATGCACACTTGGAAGTAAGTCGTAACAGTAAGCCCCAAATCACCAAGATTACCTAATTAAATGTGTTTAGGATTAGGTATTAAACCTTCAGCTTTAGGTGTGTAGATTTAGAAGCACAGCAGATCTGAATTTCAGTTAATTAGGTTGCCACAGACACCAACTCTGGATAGAGATTTCTTTTAAAAACATAACAAAATTAGCTATATGAACCAAAGTTATTTCTCTCTCTCATTATTTTTGGTTTTCACTTTTGTGGGGAAAATGGAGAGGAATTATTTATCGCCAGATTCTGGAATGAGAGAGAAGAAATGCAAGGCAAAGTATCCATTTTCATTTGCCTGAAACCTAAGCTGGGGCTAAATTCACTCAATTACAGAAAACCAAATTTGTCATTCAATAATGCCTCTGTAAATCCGCTTGTATATTTGGTATATCTCTCTGCATGAAAGAGATTTTACACAATATTCTGGATGTGGATGCCATTTCATCCAAAGTGGAAGGTAAGGTTACTACTTTAGAAAAAGCCAGTGGATATTTAAAAAAAGGGGAGTTAACAAATCAAACACACCAATAGCTTATTCAATAGTTCTATTAATTCCACTTCTGTGTACCTTTGTGCCTTTTATTTTAGCTGATGGCTTAATAATAATCTAATTTTTTGAAGTTATGAGAGTATCAAGTTGTTGCACTTTGTTTCCTCTGCTTATTAGTATTATTTTTTAGCTTGTAGGCTTGTGAAAAATAACTTTCATAAATAGAAATATTTTCTAAAAGCTGTGGGTCAATATTTGAGAAGGCAGTCTGATCTTTATTTTCCAGCTTTTCTGTATATGAAGAACATTAAACAGAATGTATTAATTTTGTATATATTAGGTATAGTACATCATTGATAATCAGTGGAGAAGGCAAGGGAAAAGGGGCTATCTTTAAAAGCACAGCAGATATGTACTGGATCAGTCTCCCAAGACTGGTAGTTTTTCAAAATTGGGTTCAGTTTTTGAACCACTCAGAATACCTCGTGTAAATAGAGTTGTCATGACTTAAATCGAAATGCATCCAGTGTTGTTGTTTTTATTTTATTTTTAAAGAGCCACTGGTTGGCTCATGTCTTCAGGCCTGTCATTCTTGCCTCTTTTTGTAACTTTTTTTTTAGTAGAGTTTACAGCTAGAATTTTGAATGCCAAAGTTCTATTTATTAAATAATAAAAGTTTTCATTGTTAATTACTAGTATTTTTCCACTCAATTTGTTTGATGTTTGGATTTGTATCTACAGAGCAAAAATAAATTTTGTTACAAAATCTAGACTTTTTGTTTTGTTTTCAGTTTACATTGTGCTTAAATATACCAGCTTTGGGAAATGTGTCATCTGTACATTCTGCATTCCTGTGTACACTTGCTGGAGGGTGAGCACGGCTGAATATGGACTTTCCTCCCATGTGAACCTCACTAGCCTCATGCTATGAAGGGGGAGGGATATGAAGAATGCCAATTAAATAGAATTGTGCTTGATCTAGGTTCTCCTATCTACATGGAGCCATTTCCTCTATATGTGAATGGGGAATCCTTATAGAAGGAAGCTGTGTCTTTCTGAATGATCACAATAGATTTCTGGATCAAATATAATTATGCTACCTATGTCCCATCAAATAACTCTACAGGCAAAGACTATGCTTTGTTAACCATGTTAGAAATCATGAATTTCAAACAGTTAACTTGTGAGGGACAGAAATGATTTTATGAGACCACCTACAGTTTCCTTCATGTGCAAACAAAATAAAAAAAATTCCTTCCAGTAGCACCTTAGAGACCAACTAAGTTAGTTATTGGTATGAGCTTTCGTGTGCATGCACACTTCTTCACATACAAGATACGCATACAGCTCTGCATCATGTGCTAGTGTAATGTTTGAAACAAGCCAACTGCAAACAATATGTTATCATGGTGGCCAGGTTATGCAAGCTGTAGTTTACTATTGACTACAGTTTCTGGTTAATAGAAATCTGAAGCAAAAGCTTCCAGTCTCTTCACAACTCTACCAGAGGAGGAGAGGGAGAAGTGTTCAAAGTCAAGACTAGGGCTGGGCAATATATCAATATATACCGTCTTATATCAATATTAAGAGCAAATTGTGATAACCGTTTTTAAAAAATTACCTGGCAATATATCATGAACCTTGTGTGCGTTTGTGTGCGTTAGTAAAAAAGCATGATATTGCAAAAATTGGGAAGCCGGTTCTGCTTCCTGTCCTGTGCTGCCAATGCTATTGCTAACTCTGCCTCAGCAGCTCTTCCGTGCCTCCTGCAGCAGCAGCAGCAGCAGGCTGACGCAAAAAGTGCACTGCAGGGTAACTCCCTGCCTTAGCTCTCCCTCTCCTCTGCCTCCTCAGCGGCAGGCAAAAATGGTGCTTGGAGATACCGTGTGTGTGCGCGTGCATGCAGCCTAAGTTTGCCTGAGCGCTCCATCTCCTGAGCAGGCGGAGCTCAGCAGCCTGCAAGCGGGAACTTCCCTCCAGGCACTTGTACGCAATTGTCTCTGTGTCTGTGTGTCTCCCTCCTTATGCTCCTCCAGACCCTCTCCCTACCCTAGAACTCTTCTTAATTCTCCCTTTGCCCTTTTGCTTTCTCACACATTTGTTATTATTAATAACAGATTACTATATTAATGTTAATATATTCTCCAGAAATATGTAATGTTTCAGTTGAAGCACACTATCATTGAGTAAATTTTCATATACCGGTAATTAAATGCACCAAATTTTCCTTGCAAAAATATATATTTTTGTTTAATATTTTTTTATTCTGTAAATTCCTATCCATTCTTTCTGGTTAGGCCTGGGGTTTGTGTGTGTGTGTGTGTGTGTGTGTGTGTGTGTCCCCTGGCACTAAAAATATACCATTTTGTTTAGAAATTTTTTGTTCTGTAAAAATTTATCCATTTCATTCTTTCTATTTTGGCTTGGTTTAGAAAAGAAAATTAACTAACAATCTAATAACTGGTGTTATAGGATGCACACATTCAACTAAGACTCAATAGTGAAATATATTTGAATAAAAGTGACAGTGAATGTGAATTGGCATTAAATTTTTAGGAAACATTCTCCCACCCTACCTTTGATAATTACTGAATTACTTCTACAGCTTTAATTTTAGAGAAAATGTGCTAATTTAAACATTATCAGTACAGTAGTACTATAACACAACAGTTTCACAATATGTTAAAGGTAAATAAAAATTTATCAGTTTTAGAGTTAGACCCGTAAGTAGTAGCAATTGCCAGGGCATTGCCACATTCACCTCTACATAGTTCCAGCCTTATTTCAAACATCGTGATATATCAAAATATTGCTATGTTCAGCTGGTAATATCTTCTGATATTGAAAACCAGATATCGCCCAGCCCCAGTCAAGACTTACTGCAGCTTGTTCTTCTTAGGGGAATGTCCAAACATGGCCACTTAAAAGATGCTGTAGTAGATGGCACATTCATTTGTGTCAGGATTTGTACCACATTGTATCTTAAGACTGGGGGGTTACAGATTTGCTTCACAACTCTATATGAAAAATGACTGCAATCCCCTCCAAGACACACCCCATACAATTATAGTGAGCTTCTCCAAACAAAGAATCAGAATGAAATAAAACACACCAATGAGATTACACCTTGAAAGGCTAGATTTCTTTGGGCATAAGTTTCCACACACTACAGTCCACTTCAGCAGATGACATGTTAGCCCAGGGGTGACTAACCTTTTTTGGACCGAGGGTCACATTGAAAACAGGCCACATACCTTGATCATGTGTATACACATGGCTACATGCACATGTTAAACACTCACACAAACATTCAGCTTGGGGAAGCGGACAGGCAGACCCACATGTCTAACCTGTGAAAAGGAAGAAGAGCAAGAGCAGCTTTCTAGCACTAGCTGTTTGCATTTTTAAAAATGCATGCATTAACTGCAAAGACATCTCTAGCATGTCTTGTCTGGCCCTAAAAGATGGGAGTTACAAGGTCCCATGGTTTGAACAACTGCCACACCTTTGAACTCGGTTGTTGCCACAAGCAAAGCGCTGTTTCTCAGCCAATACTACTGGCCTACCTTCCAAAGCTGTTGTATGGTTTAGTGGAGGTGAAGACACTTTGTATGGGGTAAAGCATCCTATAAATCCTAAGTCATAGAAGTAATATTAAATGTTAGCCTGGATGTGAGGGAATGGCACAAGGGACCGAGCATGTCTGTACAGGCTGGGCCTTTCAGCTTTAATTTGTGAATATGTTTTAGCCCCTCGATCTTCTGATTTAAATATACTAATCCTGCAACCCTACAAAAATGTAGCTGGGTAGAATCCTCTCTATACTATGCATATACTCACTAGACAGAGAAAGACGAAAGCTGCTAGAGCAAAGAAGGGCTGCATTGATAGTTCTGTTTAGCAACAACTTCATCCAGAAGATGTCACCAGAATACAAACCATGCTTAGTTGCTGCTCCTGCTGTGAGGAACACTACTGAAGGGATTTAAAATTAGAGGGTTTTAAATTAAAAAAAGCTCTAAAGGGAACATAAAGTATCTCACAATGTTATGTAAAAGCTGCCATTAATTAGAGCCAAGAGAACAAGCCCATGGGCCAGCCCAGCAAGACTGGTGGTATATTAATTAAACGGAGTGTGAGAAGAGGAGGGTGCTACTCAATGCTTCCTGATTTAATGTTCAAAACAATCTGTCTTATAAAACAAGCTGAGGACACAGATTCCTGGGTTCAAGCTGTATACCACTGAAACTTTTGGTGGGACACAAAAGCTAATGAGCTAGGATATTATGTCACCCGTAAGGGCTGATTTAGGCCATACATTTGGTGCAGAATAGTTGCCCTTCCCCTCATTCTGTAGCTCTGCGTACATGAGAGCAATCCCCATGGGGATTCTATATAGCTCCTACAACTGGACACACTATCCCACTCCTCTCTAAGTCCTCTGTGCATAGGCTTATCTTCCAAAGAGTAGGAGTCATTCCCTCGTGTGTACTTTTAGAGCAACCTCCCCCAGCCTGGATCTCTCGTCCTCCACGACCATTTGCCATGCTGCCTGCAGCTGAAGGGAGTTGCGAGTTTACCATCAGCCTGGATAACTCAGCTGCTTGCAGGTTCAATCCCTGTATGGGACAGCTGCATATTCCTGCACTGCAGGGGGTTAGACTAGACCAGGCATAGGCAAACTCGGCCCTCCAGATGTTTTGGGACTACAATTCCTATCATCGTTGACCCCTGGTCCTGCTAGCTAGGGATTATGGGAGTAGTAGTTCTAAAACATCTGGAGGGCTGAGTTTGCCTATGCCTGGACTAGATGGTCCTCATGATCCCTTCCAACTCTACAATTCTATGAACAGCTTGAGGGGCACCAAGTTGGGGAAGAGTGCTGTGCAGGAATAGGCTGGGTATCTGCATGAGCCATGGAAGGGCTTCCCTTGAGTATCAATAGATGTAACTTTGTACAGGGAGGGAATGAACAGGCCGAAAATCTCTCATTTACAGCACCTCTTCATAAATTTACCTACTTCCCCCTGCTAGGTGCCCATTCAGTTAAACCATCTATCGCTTATCATGCCACCACTGCACTGTCATTAGTCACGCATAAACTTACATGTTGCACAGAAATTATCTACGTCAGTTCTTTGCAGTTCATTCCAAGAATAACAGTTTGGTGTGCTTGCATTCCTTAACCAAATTTAATTGCTGTGATATTGCACCATATGCCAAATATCACATTTTCTACAACATAGAATTTTATTTATAAACAAAGATCAAAATGCAGGCAGCAACACACACACACAACCCAGTAAAGGAATGAATAAACTCCCTCATTATAGCCCTTAGTATTTAGATCACATATTTGATACTGAATTAATCATGTGGATTATCATCTCTGATTGTACTTTACAATCAGTACATTTGAGTCGCCACTTTACTCTTTGAAAGCATGAGACAAACACTGTGCTCCAAAGCACCAACACATCCTGGACCCATTTCCTGTTCTACTAAGGAAGATTCATGTGGTGGAAAAAAGATTTCCCTCACACAGCGAACATTGAAATAATATGCCTGTGGCTGCCAGAACAACATTGGGGCCACACATAGTAAATTCAAGTTTTGGTAACCTAAAATGTGATGTGCCACAGCTTTGATGAACATTAAAATGGATACTGTACATTTCTGCAACAAACACCATGGTCCCTTGTAAGAATAAAACAAAATTGAAGGTACCCTTATGTGGTATGAATACTGAATTTAAGCAATACAAAACTAG